GCCAGTCCATAGGAACATTGTGAACTTGAGCCCATAATTTAATCTCCTGGAAGCAGCTATCTTTTTCACTGATACCCTTTTTCCATTCACTTAGGACTAAGTACTGGTTTTCATAAATCCAGTTTGTTCCCAGAAGGACCTTTTTCTTATCATCTCTACTTTCGAAGATAAATTGGAAAAAGTTTGAGGAAATTTCACGAACCTCCATACTCTGTTGGATTCTCTAGATGCCTATTAATGTTCGCTTCAGTCCAATGAGTGACACACGGCGATTGCCGATGATCTTTCCCACAAGGCTTCTGTTGCATTCCTCTGCACTAGCTTGGATGTCTTTCTTTCCAATATCAATGACAAAGCTCTCGTCTCCAGAAAGTGAGAAATTTCTTAATCGTTGCGCCATTTTCTCCTCCATACCCGGTTTTTCGCCGGGTGATGCCATAATCCGCAGCACTAAACCCTAGAGCAGTAGCAGGTGGAACAATAAAGCCCTCAGAATAAGGAATAGAGCCCTCAATCGACGGAATGAGCCCTCACTCGACGGAATTAGCCCTTACTCGGCGGAATCGCACTCCCACCTGAGAGAATTTTATATCTTGCATACTTTGGTAAATAAAGGTCCCGTTTGGAAGATAGCGGATTGAAGATAAATTAGCGGATTAGACTTAATTGAGAGGTTTGACCCGTTAAATTGCTATTGAGCTTGTTTGGTAAATAGCTTATTTGATAAGCTTTTTGGGACCAAAACTCTAATTTAGAAAAAGCTCATTAGAGGAGCTTTTTGGGATAGAGGATTCACAATCTACTATTTTAATTTGGATCTTTTTAATTTGTATTATTTATTTTTCAATTTACATTGGTTTAGTGTGCTAATAAATAATAATATGTCATCCATATGATTAATTTATCTAGAAAAATGTAAAATTTATAACTTCTTAATCAAGTGTTAGTAAATTTTTTAAAAAATATATTTATAAATTACCAATTAAAGAATATTAAATGTTTTAATATATTATAATTAATAGAATACACCCTAAATAATAAAAATGTCCTTATTGGTAATTTGCAATGTCAAACAGCTTTAAGCTTTCAGCTATTTACCAAACACTTATTTAAAAACCGCTAATGCAATTCGTTGGTCAAATCAACTAATATAATCCGCTATCCGCTAATACAATCCGCTATCCGCTATTCGCTGATGGCCAAACAAGACCAAAATGGTTTGGTCGTGTTCTAATTTAAAAACATGGTTGGTTTTTTTGGTCATTGCATTTTGACCTTATTGCCTTTTCCGGAATTATTTCTGCTCTTTCATTACTCCATCTCCATGAGAATCTTATCTAACGCGATTTTCTTGTACGATATATCTTCCCAATGAAGATTTCTTAGAAGCAGATCTGATTTCTTCAAACACCATTTACCCACACCATCTTACGCTTCTTCCGCTTCAAAGAGCCCTAAAAAATCTCTCCCATTTATTTTTTCTTTGCTTTCGATGTAGCAACGTCTCGCACAGCGGCGAGATTCAAGCACCACCAACAATCCCCATACGGCGATCTCACACACACACACGCTAACTGCACACCATTGTAAAATTCAGCCCTCAAAACCCACTTTTCTAAGCTTCTTAGGTCGCAACCCATGTTGGGTTCTTCCTTTCCTTGAAGATGGCGACTGAAAGCTCTAAAATCCTTCGACCCCAAACCGCCTATTCGAGCCTCGGGGGTCCAAATCCTCCAATAAGAACCGATATTGACACGTCGGCGCCGTTCCAATCCGTGAAGGAAGCGGCGAGCCGCTTCGGCAGCATGGGTTTCTGGAAATCGGCCTCGTACAAACCGTTCGAGAGCATGCGTCTGAGGTTGTTTGTGGGCTCGCAGTGCGGTATTTTTTTTTTATTTTTTTTTTGTGCTTATGAATTTGTTTATGTGTTTTGTTTTAGGTTTTTGTGGGCCTAAAAGATAAAAAATTGATGAATGGTGAATTTTTTGTCATTGTTTCTCTTTGTAGATATATCTACTGAGGACATGTTTATACGAAATTAGATATCGCACAAGATTTTACGAGGCCAGTTAATCAGTATCTGTTAGAGGGTCTGAAGAGCTTTTATGCCATTGCACAAGTGGGTGCACAAGAAAGATAGATTTTACTTTTACACTATAGAGTTATATATATATACTTTTTAAGTTTTTATAGTTTCAAATAATTTGTTCTTGTGGTCTAAAGGATATATGATGGAGAATGTGTCTCTCATGTTTGAGTTATATGAAGCATTTCATGTTCTATCTTTGAGACATGCTTCCATCCTATTCATCCTCGACAAGTTTGACAAGTTCAGATCATGGCATGGTACTTTTTACCCTCACCCTTGATTGATTAAATCCCATTTATCTTTAAAACAAAATTATCTGGTGAGATTTGCTCTTTGAATTTGGAATTTAACACATTTTTTCTCTTTTTTTTTTTTTTTTTTTTTTTTTTTTTTTTTTTTTTTTTTTTATAATTGTGAAATTAACATGCTTTGTGTTCTAATTAAGGCAAAACTGAAGGATCATTTTTGTCCTATTTGTATTGACGGTGACCTGCTGTAATGTAGTTATCGCCAGCTATTTCAACGTATATTACCCTGCTGACAGCCGACCAGATTTTGTGAGAGAGAGTCAGATAAGAAATAGCTTCGCCCATACGCCAGCTAGGAAGTGAAAGAGTGGCGGTGGAGTGGTGCGATGGCTGAGGACCACGAGGTAACCAGATCACGGATCCATGACTCGAAAGCCGGTCAAGGACCATGAAATATATGGACTTCAGAGCCTGACATCTCTACCTGTCGGCGGTGTTGCCACCGCAGTTGCATTGTAGGCATCTGGAGCTGGTGCCACTACATCTGTACCCACTGCTGGTTATGTCTTCGCATGGCATCTGGAGTTGGTACAGCCGTACCAGCTGCGGCTTAGACCAGGAAAGAAGAGAGTGGATGAGAAAGAAGAATCTTATGATGTAAGTCCTTCTGCATGATAGACAAAGCCATATACATGATTACTTATTGCACTTCAATGTTTATTCTACTTTAGTTAGTGGTTTATGTATATATCTTGTGTTGATCAGTTTCAGGTGGAATAGCATTTTATGATTCTCATGGGAGTGCTTACTTTGTTATCTGTAGAAACTTTGTGAATCATATGACTTCTCTGTGATTTGATGATTCACTTTTTCAGATGCAAATTTGATGATGAAAAGGTCAATAAAGAAAAGTTTGCCGCAATTGATATACCAGTGTTTCTTATTATTAGATCACTTAAACTTCTAAGGTGTTTTTTTCTTTCTTTTTTTTTTTTTGTTTTTCCGTTTTTGGGAGTTAAACTTTCATCTGTTTTGAATGACGGGTGTCACAATCTTTTACTTTTTTTTTCCATTGGCTGCAAGGCAGTGCCATGGGTTGGGG